TTTTTTTTTAGTCAGTATTTGTGCTCTAAATGCGTTTAGTCACTCTAAATGCACTGAAATGAGTGGCTTTAACTGTGTTTAAGTTTAAAAATGAACCTGTCATCCTGTACTCCTAAGTTCTGTCCTTCTTACCTGCAGCCATCGCAACAGCGCTGGATATTGGTCTTTCCAATTGGAGCTTCCTCTTCATCACCATTAGCCTGTAAGTTTGTGGTTTGGACGTTTTTATTAGAAGTTCATATGTGTCAGTATTTTATCTTAACCAGTCATTGTATTGTTCTTTACATATTCTACGACTTTTATTTTGTGTCATTCAAGGTATACCATGACCAAGTCCTCAGCAGTGCTTTTTATCCTGTTTTTCTCTCTGGTCTTTAAACTGGAGGAGCCGGTGAGTGTACCGATCACATGACACTGACAGCAGTGCGAACAGTGCAGTTTTGTCTTCACTTTAATGTCACCCAGACACAACTGGAGAATTAAGCATGCTTCTTATACAGGCAAAATGATGCAAGAGGCAATTCTTTTAGTCTGTTTTCTCGATGGTGGTGCAATGCACAAAGCAGACATCCAGCAACGTTCACAAAGTGCACTGTGGCTGTAGCAGAACATGAGAACTTTCTAATCTGAAAAAAGTCCTGCACAAATTTATAACCGGTTCGGTTGACACCAATTTTTCTTAGTGGTGTCATAGCTTAAAGATTTAATTCTGTCCACCTTTAGCACCAAATCACAATAGTCAGTCACAGCGCTTTTAGGCGTTTGAGCTCTCACTGTGGTATTGTATCACTTCCTGTTACAGAGCACAGTGGTGTTTTTGTGTAGCTTGATGGGGGTTTCATCACATGAGCAGTAATGAGCAGTCATTACCTCTCGTCTACTCTCTCGTCTAGTTTGTACTTTGTTCTGTTCTTCTTTTATCCGTCATCCTCTACTTTCTTTCTTCTTCTGTTTCCTGTGCAATTTTAACTTGAAACTGCTGCGTGTCGTTGTCTTTTCTCCCTTTTTAATCCAGAACCCGTTTCTGATCCTGGTGGTCCTGTTGATCTCCTGCGGTCTCTTTATGTTTACCTTTGAGTCAACCCAGTTTAACCTGGAAGGCTTTATTCTGGTGCTCCTAGCATCCTTCATAGGGGGGATTCGATGGACCCTCACTCAGGTCCTCACGCAGAAAGCAGAGCTGGGTAAGTGTTCAGTCACTGTGGAGTGACAGCTTCCAAAGAGGTTAAAAAGCCTATAACCTGGATCTACACCAATGAATTTTGGGCTGTGGCTTTCATCAGGTATACAGTAAAACATGATACACGCGCCATTTCAAAGGGGATTGGTGTGAAATACAAAAAGAAAAGAAAACAACTATCATAGAGACCTAAAATATCTTGTTATGTGGTTTCAACCTAGCCGTTATCCTTGAATGGTCTACGACAAGTTAACAAGATCCACCAGTGATGACTCTAATGCAGGTTCTGACACAACATTAACAGCAGGTGAAGTGGGGTTGTTGCTTCTCACTGTCTTTCCTCTGAGTTTA